CAAACTGGGTCGGGCAATATGTGATAGGCTAAATAATGGTATCCAAAGATATCCAGATCCTCATCCTTGAAACCTGTAAATGTTACCTTATATGGCGAAGGGGCTTTGCAGATGTGATAAGTTAAGGATTAACTTAAATTGAGATGGGGAGACTATCCTGAATTATCTAGATGAGCCCTAAATGCAATCACATGCATCCTTAGATGAGGAAGACAGAGCAAAATTTGACTACATACAGAAGAGAAGAAGGCAACGGGATCACAGATACTGGAGTGATATGGCCACAAGCCAAGAAATGCTGGCAGTCACCAGAAACTGCAAGAGACAAGGCATGGATTCTCCTCCAGAAGCTCTGGAGGAAGCAAGGCCTTGCTGACATTTGGCTTCTGCCCAGTGAAACTGACTTTAGACCTCTGACCTCCATAACTGTAAGAAAATAAATGTGTGCTTTAAACCACCAAGTCTGTGGTTGTTATAGCAGCCATAAGGAACTAATACTCAGTCCTCCTTGCACTTCCACAACTTACTGTGTGTGCCTCCAATAGAGCACTACCACTTTGTATTAATAACAACGACATTTATCCAGCACTTAATATGGGCCAAGCACTGGAATATATGAATTAGATGAATTATTTATTTAAATTTCATCACAACCATATAAGGAAATACCCCATTCTACAGAGTTGGAAAATGAAGTTTAATGGGATTAAGTAACCTGAGCAAGGATATAGAGCTAATAAGTAGTGGATCCAGGATTCAGGCCACTGCATACAGTTGTACAGATCATTGTCTATACGAGTGGCATCCTCTGGAACACACAGTGCACAACCTTCACAACCAACCAGAGCAACCCTGCCAAGGTTTGAACTCTGACAAATTGACTAGTCCTGTACTTTAAGCACCTCTGCTCATATTGCACTTTTCTGATTATTTTAATTTCTCTCTTACTATATTATACACTCCTTAAGACCAGGGACTTTGTCTTTTATTTTACTATCCTCAGGGCACAGCACATATATTGGCATCTAGGAACTCCATAATGAACAAATGAAAGAATCTCTTCTCCTATTAGCAATTAGTGCTAAAAAGGCACAAGGAATTTAAGAAAGAAGCCAGAGACACAAAAATAAACTGTTTTCTTTCTTTCTTCTCCATTAAGAACAATTTTCAAATTGGACAGGGTAAAACAAACATTTCTACAGAAAATGGAGAGTGAGATAAATGAAGCGCTAAGAGTGCATCTGGGATTTTAAATAAGTTCAAGTCTCTAAGGCCAGATGAATAAAACACCAAAGTGTGAACAACACTTCCAGAACTGATACTTGTTAGTGATCTATGAAAAAAACAACAAATGACAAAAATGCTCCACCCTCTCCACACCCCCTTGCCCAAGAACAAATGTTTTCCAATAGGAGGAACAGGCAACTAGAAATAAGTTTCCTGCCATGCTAGCCTGAATGAATCCCTCATGATGTCCGTGATGTGGGTTTTGTCTCTGGCTGTATGCTATTCAACTTGTTATCAGTGCCTTGAATGTAGATTTACTTATCAAAATTGTTGATTGTTCTAAGTTCAAA